TGTTTTGCACTTGAACCTTGTCCGCAGGCAGGTATGGCCTAGGCGAGATGTGGCGCCCACCCCGGCCAAGGTGTGCACAGCTAGTCAGCGTCGTCCTCCCTAGCCGATGTTTTTCCATCCCGTTGTTGGATCCTTGTTTTGAGCCCAGTCATCTTGTTGCCGATGTATCTTACCCGAGCTTGCTGCATAAGCTTTGTCAGAGCTTGTCTTGTCCATCAATCACCTTTTTGGAGCTGAACCAACCCGGTAATGCCACGTGTCCGAGCTGTTTGTTAAGGCAGCCGACAGACCTTGAAAACAAATCATTTCTTGTCTCAAATCTTTGTTTTAGAGAGAGAAGCTCTAGAGAGGAGGAAGAAGAGTTCTTGAGTGAGAGTAGTCTTCCAAGCTTGATCTTTGTGGCTTGAACGTTAGATCCGAGTCTTTGAGGTTAGATCTTGATCTCCTTTGGGTTGCTCTTGCTGAATATCTAGCTGCATTGCATGATCGGTTTGTTTTGCATGCCATGCATCGTTTTGAAGTTGGTTTTAGAAAGAGAAAATGGTTTTTCATGTGTTCTTGAAGGAAGTCTCATTTTGATCGAAAGTTGGAACGAAAATCATTTTTGTGTTTATTCTTGCATGACTTTCTTGAACGGTACCCAGGTCCCTATTTTGAACTCTTGGCATGAAAACTCAGATTTTTGTAACAAGTTGTGAGCTTGCATCCATTTTCAAATGGTCATGTTCTTCATGTTCTCAAAAGGAAAACCAGGTTTTTCCTGATTTTGTATAACGGGACCTCGCTAGCCCTGGACGGTACCCAGTGTGTTTCGAGAAACGGGAGCAGTGGTTAAGCTCCCAGCTTGTTTTTGTTTTGTCTTTGACTTAGATCTGCATGAATGCCGAGATCATTTACATGTATATAGAGCTTGCTTTGAGAATGTGACTAGCCATGTGATTGTAGTCCTTGATATTGCTTTGATTCGCCACCTGAAGAACTAGGTGAGTGGTATTATTGATAAGCTATGTTATACTCGTTTTGATAAATCTTGCTTGCTTGTTGACGAAAGTATTTGATAGCATGAATAATAGCTCTTGTTTGATGAGTCAAGTATACTCCTTGTTGATGCCATCTTTGCAAAGGATACGGTCCCTTGTTAAATCGGGCTACGGGCCTAAGTGACACAAGTCCCTTGTGCTGGAGGACTCTAAACTTTCGCGTACCAAGTGCACAAGTCTTGTATTGGAGGACTTCTAACTTTCGCAATACTTTTTGACCAAACGATTACGGATCGTACAGCTTTGTGTTATTGATGATGAATACGGTTCATCCCTTGTCTCGCCGATGTTACGATATTTGATGATGAATACGGTTCATCCCTTGCTTTGCCGATGTTATGATATTGATTGATGAATACGGTTCATCCCTTGCTTTGCCGATGTTATGATATTTTGATGATGAATACGGTTCATCCCTTCTTCGCCGATGTTATGATACTCGTGATAATTGATGATGAATACGGTTCATCCCTTGCTTTGCCGATGTTATGATATTTGATGATGAATACGGTTCATCCCCCTTGCTTGCCGATGTTATGATACTTGATCGATGATACGGTTCATCCTTTGTCTTGATAAAGTCCTGATATGTTCTGTTTTGAAAGACTTCGGCTATATTCATGTTAAAACCTTTATTTTTAGTACCATTCACGATTTTGTACTCACCCCTCTATATATATGTAGTGATAGAGCAGGACGGCGGCGACGCCTATTTCGTTGGGATACTTGTTTTGGATTCGTGTATTTGTTCGCCTACTTTGTATTTACGTCGGCGATGCCCTGTTTGCATGTCGGCGAATTCTTGAAAATCATGCTTCTTGACTTGTATTAGCTGTATTTTGTATATGTCGGCTCGAGAAGCCTTTTGATCAAGCATGTAACATGTATTTTTGTACCTTGTTGTATTTAAATTGTGAAGTTAATTGGAAAGTGTTTGGCACTGCTTTAATCTACGCACAGCTCTTATGGACCGCTTGTAATTGATTTATCGCTTCCGCATTTGTGAGCCCCCCTATATTCGTACTCTGATTGTGTTAAGTTTTGAAAGGTTGGCCTCGTAATTACGGATTACTGGCCATCACGGCACCAAACTACTAGGGGCGGTTGGGGTCGTGACAGAGTGTAATCAGAGCACAAGTTCCTCGGTATACGTTATTCACACACTTTGAGTCCTGAAGAGCATAGGATTTCCCTTAGAAAGATGTTAGAGTTGCATCATGGATTTGTTATTTGAACAAATGTGCATTTTCTTGATGTTTTATCGTTGCTCTGCCTAATGTGGTTATTCTGCTTAATTGTTTTAAAGATCATACCTTGCCATATACTCTATAGCATCATGAGGAGGGGTACCGACCACTAAACTTGGCCCGAGATCACCCGAAGAATAGGAATGGACAGATTGGGAAAGATTCAGTTGAAGGTTTGGGCCCGCGAGTTGAGGGCAAACCAAGCAGCAAGTTCCTAGTGCTACGTCGACTCAGGCCTTGAGCAGACCAACGGCCGAAATGTAGCTCCACCTTCCACCTCCTCCTGTGGCCGCAGATTCCCCCGCAACCAGCCTTGTATGGGGATGGCACGATAGCTTTGATCAAGAGAGTTCAAGAAAATGAGACCACCGAGATTTCTGGGGTATAGAGCCCGATGAAGGCTGAGCTGGTTTTGGAGATAGAAAAGTTGTTCGAGATCTTCCCTAGCACGACGCTCAGAAAGTGACGTTGGCAGCATTCCCACATTGGATGATGATGCTCGCAAGATGGTGGATGATGGTTAGAGGGAGCAACCAGATTTGACCTGGACCCGATTTCTTAGATTGTTTTACAAGAAACATTTTCCCCTAAGTGTTCGAAACCGCAAGGCTACCGAAATTTTCCATACTCTGACGCAAGGCAACAGAACAGTGGAGGAATATGAAACCGCGCTTTACGAACTGGTAGTTGTACCTCAACATGACCAACGAGCGAATATTGAAGGCCAGGAGTTGAGTGTGGGGCTTCGTGGACCGATTCAAGACAGGGTGAGTTTACTCGATATGCCCGACTTATGCCGAAGTATTGGACAAAGCATTCACGCGAAAGCTAATTTGAACCGATCCAGAGCTGGGAGAAAACCAACGAACAGAGAACCAGACTAAATGACAATCGCGCGAGGAACAGCTGAACACCAAGAAGAGAACGAACATGGACAGTACTGGTAACCTAAGGCAGAAAGGGCGTGTTAAACCGACGTGTTCGGATTGTGGGAACAGCATTTCGGGTCTGCCGACGAACGTCTGGAGCCTGTTATGAATGTGGCGAGATGGGCCATTATGTGGGATTGCCCCAAAACAAGACTGATAACAACAAGAAAGGAGAAAATACGTCGGGTCCGTTCAGAACGGAGGAAATTTGATTTCTCATTTAAAAGTGATGAGATTTAATGAAAATAACCTTATTTTATATATATATATATATATATATATATTAGAACATGAGAAATAATATGTTAATAAAACAACAAGAGTATATAAATAAGACCCCAAAGGGTCATTCGACCCAAACATCAAAAATAAAATCTGTTATCCTTGGTAAATTATTTGTCCATCTTAGAAAATTAAATTCTTTCTAGGAACGTTAATAAATACGTTCACATTATTTGTCAATTGAATGGGCCATATATCAAATTTGAAAAATAAAAAAAAAAATTAAAAACTATAACTTCGGCCACCCACACTATTGTGAACAAGAGTCATAAATATGGGCATTTTCAACACTACCCTATGTTGATATGGAACTTGGAATTAGAATTAGTTTATGATTTCATTATCAGTTGACAAGGTTAAAGTTATTTTATCTATTTTTAATTTTTATAGGTAGTTTTCAAAAATAAAACAACTACTATGGTGTTTGGCTTTTGTTTTGTTTTGTTTTTTTTTTTATCAAAAAAAAATCAAAAAATATTAGTGTACAAGTATGGATTGAAAAATTCGTACAAATTAAATTTCAAACAAATAGTCATGCGAATGTGTTGACACTTCTTTAGCCTCAATGGAAAAGACTATTATTAAGTATAGCGAAAAATGAATAGAAAAAGAAGAAGAGAAAGAAATAAAGAAAAATGATTGAGAAAACAATCAAAATGATCTGTGATGGGCCCCACGAGCCCAACAATACGCTTCATTATGATCTCGGACTGGAGAGAAGCCTAGCCATTAAAAAAAGTAAAAAACATTGCAAACTCTTCACACTTTTATAATAGTAGTAGATAGATAAATTATGTGAGAAATTATGAGAAATAAATTACTTTTATTTTGAAACTTTGATTTCTCATTTAAAAGTGATTAGTTTTAATGAAAACAAACTTATTATATATATATATATTAGGACGTGAGAAACAATATATTAATAAAACAACAAGAGGACACAAATAAGACACCAATGGGTCATTCCAACCAAACAACAAAAGTAAAAAAATAACAACAAAAAACAAACCCTCAAAAAAAAAAAGAAAGAAAAGAAAAACAGCTATGATCCAGGAAAAACCACTGATGTGCTCAAAGATGTGGTCTAGAAAATAAGATCTGCTTGAAAGCCCACCGTCCCTATCAACAACGTCCCCATCGCCGCTGCCCAACACCCCCGCCACTGTCGCCAGAGAAAGAAAAACACCCACAACGGCATGGGAGAAGGGTTTATAGAGGAGGAAACCATTTATATCACATACTTTACTTTTTTATTCATCTAAGTATGATAATAAAAAAATGAAATCATTTATTTTCTTTTCTCAAAGGATAAAGATACCACAAACATTTATTTTATTTTCAAAACTCTGTCACAAATATATCAAATATTTGTCTGGAATCCAAATATATCAAAGATAGACGTGAAAATAGATAACTGGATATATGTAGTTATCTATGAGTATCGAATACATTGTAAAATCAAAAAAGATCAGAAACGATTTTTATTCAAATTGTTTCATTTCTCACAACCTTAACCAATCATGGGGAATAGCAGAAACATCATTGTCATTTATTTCAGTGTTTTCCACTTGCTCTTCTTCTTGTGCATGCTTGGAAGAACCCTTCAAATTCAATTCATCAACTCTCTGAACCACATTTTTTTTAAGCTCCACCATAGACCTTTTTAATTGTTCAAGCTGTTGCAAGTCAAGCTGATTAACATATGCATCAAACCTACAACTTAGCAAGCCATAGTTTTTGTTACTCATGTTTTGAACAATTTTCTCTTCCTTTTTCTCGGCTTTCAATCGCTTGATCAGTTGATGGAATTGTTGGTTGAGTTGGTGCACAGTGGCATCGTCGTGCTGCGAGGCATTGCTGGAGACGCCTTCACTTGGCTGCGCATTTTGGTTCAGAAAGCGGTCTACAACTGAGTCAACATTTGGTTTTCCAAAATAGAATGCCTTGCCTCCCATGGAGAAGAGAACAATGGCCATATCTACACCACATTTTTTTTTGATCAGCAATAGAAGAACTTTATTGAAGAAGATAACATACAGAATATGGAAAAAAACATCAATAAAGAAGAGGCACAAGAAAAGCAACAAAGAGAACACTCCAAATCCCAGAAGGAGCGAGACCCTAACAAGAGCAAGCTGAAGCCAAAGTTGGTGAGAGACCAACAAAGAAAAATGCAGAACAGATGGGAAAACAAACAAGGCACCAAGGTGCAAAAACAGCAAAAACAACAAAATGCAGCTAGGCTTCAGGATGCATACACTTTAGCATGATAGCAGAAACTAGGGCAGAGCAGCAAACCAAAAATGATGCAAAGCATAGCAAACTTGAAGCACAGCAGAGTAGCAACTAGAAATCAAACCAGAAACATTAAGCATCACCACCACGAAGATCTGCTAATGCTAGGTATACACCCACTTCCCCTTGCTTCCAACAGCATGCCAGCACTTAGAATCAGCCCATGTAGCATCCGACCAATACACCAGTGAACCAGCAATTGTAACGCCCTCAAAATAATGCATAAAACCCATCATTCTTGACATGCACAATATAAGGGAAATAAACATCTTTCTATTTATCAGAGTAGTTCTTACAAAAGTATTACATGTTGACAACAAAAGTAAACGCCCTATGGGCTTACAACTTTCCATGCCAACACTTGGTTACAAGAAAGGAGTACTAACTCATATACATATTAAGCCCTTGGCTTGGATTTATATGTAATACCTCAAAGGAAAACAAAACAACCAAAAATTATGTCTGCCTCTAGCCTCCTAAGCTATGTCCTTGGAGGTGGCATGCTACCTGTACCTGAAAATGGTGTCCCATATAGGGTGAGCCACAGCCCAGTAGAAATATACTAAACCAACTATAAACAATGACTAAAATAACAGCATTCGATAGATGGTCCACACTTATATTCCCACTTATAACACATTACAGTTTCATGACATTCAGATCCATGTTACATTTCATTTCCCACTTCTTTTTCAACTTTGAGTTTGAAAACAAGGCTCAAAGCCTAGCCAAATAACTTAATGAGATTATGACTCATCATTAAAACACTTTTGAAATTCATGATGGATACACATTTTGGTGCTGTATCAATAACACATAAACCACTTCCGTACTTCACGAAGAATATACATTTTGGTGCTGTATCAATATAACATAGAAATACTTCTATACTTCACAATTGATAACGATATACATTTTAGTGCTATATCAAACCAATTCAAACACTTCCATAATCTACACTTGATACACATTGTAGTGCTGTATCAATGTCACACAAAATCCGATTTGGAGGTCCATCCCCTATCTTCCCCTAAACCGTGGAGTACATCCCCTATCTCCTCCCACACACAATGTATATAAACATAGATCATATACATAATCAATCGATACATAAAGTTAATGTATTATTCCAACCACTATATTTAGCATACTCAATCGATTAGTTTTAGTTTGCCTAATCATCATGCATTATCTACAACAATCAAGACTATCCTCCACCAATAGCCCAAAGCAGATAGTTGCCGAAAAACCATTCAGTATGTTTAGTTTAAGCTGTAAGCCCGTAGGGCATTTTGTTTTGATGTTAACATGTAATACTTATGTAATGGAACTCTAATGAATAAAAGAATGTGGTTTGTTTATATGTAAATGCATGTCTTATCTGATGGGTTTAATGTTGTTATTTTGAGGGCGTTACAATAAAACAACCCTAAGGTTCCATTTCTATCAATAACCTAACATTTACCTCAATTCTCCATGCTAAACATGCATTTAGGTTTATATAAGTAAAACCCCTTCTTTTGTAAAATTACATAAAGGCCCAAACTTTCTCAAAATTACCCAACAACCCCCAACATATCGAAATGCTAAAATTTAAAGACAAAGCCCATAAAGAGGAGTAGGATATCCCTACCTTGAAGTTAGAGCTCAAACGGGGAAGTTGAAGAAAACCAAAATGCTCCAAACTCCAAGATCCACAGATCAAAACGAAGCCCTCGACGATCCACACACTTTTTACAAAGGCCTAAGGGAAAGGGGACACGCTAACTAGATCAAACCCTAGAGAGAAAAGAGATCCTAGAGAGAGAGGCTCTCAAAAATGATTTTGGAAAAGAAAGAGAGAGAAAGGAAATGTAAAAAGTGATTTAAAATTACCCAGCGGATGACTCATATACGTATGACCCGCTCAAGCGGAGAATAGAACGCTCGAGCGTCAGGCACAAAAATCTGGATCTGCTCGCGCGCAAGAAGGCCCGCTCGAGCTCCAAGAAACAAAAGCAAAACACATCCGCTCGAGCCCGAAGAACCAGTTTGCTCGAGCGTATATTTTCATCTCCCAGAACTTTTCAGAAAAAAGGACTACCCGCTCGAGCTCCAACAAGCCCGCTCGAGCGTGACCCGCTCAAGCGCCAACAAGCCCACTCGAGCGTAGAAAACACACCTACAGAAGTTTTACAGGGGCACAAAAAATTGGAAGGGTGTAAACCACACTCGAGCGCAAGAAGGCCTGCTCGAGCGGACAACCCAAAAACCAAACTCCACTCGAGCTCAGAAGGATCCGCTCGAGCGTAACACCAAAAACCTGGGCAACTACACTTGAGACCAAAACTCAACCTACCTATTCAGAACACGCCCAACACATCCTATAACTCGAATACCAAGTACGAAAGGACGTAAACAAGATATAAACAACTGCTAACATCCACAGAACCAAGTTCGGATCACTGTACAACAAGGGATAAAACCCAGAATCACTATAGCAATGAGCATGCTTGACAGCATAAACTAAGGCAGAGCAAAAACCCAAAAATAAGGCAAAGCATAGCAAAATTGAAACATAGCAGAGCGAAATTGGCCACCAAGAAGATCTGCTAATACCAGGTATACATCCACTTCCCCTTGCTTTCATCAGCATACCACAGATTGACCAAAATCCTGCACCCTTACAGCAAAACACCAAGGCACTAAGCTCGCTTGCTTTGTTGAAAATCCCATGTTTACGGTTTGAGAAGGTAATCCTTCTTGCGTTTTCATTGGCGATCATCTTCATTTCAATCTTCTTTCGGCCTTGGGATTGCTTCCTCTCCACGTTTAAAGAAAAAGCAATAAAATCTTTTTTCAAAAACTTCTCAGTAAGAAGCATGACATATATGCAAGTACACGCAAAGGGGGATTATATACTGTTAGTATTGATATTTTTACATTGATATTCTTTTGGCTCCAGAATCTGCAATTCTCCTTTTATGATTGACTTATTAAATATGAAAGTTGGTGAATTTGGTAACAATTAATGTATAGACCTCGAATATTAGAAGAAAATCTGTTACCTTGGTAAATTATTTGTCCATCGTTTGTGATTGCCTTATTAAATATCAAAGTTGGTGAATCTACTAATAATTAATGTATAGACCCTGAATATTAGAAGAAAATCTGTTATCCTTGGTGAATTATTTGTCCATCTTAGAAAATTAAACTCTTTCAAGGAACATTATTAAATACGTTCACATTATTAGTCAATTGAATGGGCCATATATCAAATTTAAAAAATAAAAATAAAAAAAAATTGAAAAACTATAACTTCGACCACCGACACTATTGTAAGCAAGAGTCATAAATATGGGCATTTTCAACACTGCCCTATGTTGATATGGAACTTGGAATTTGAATTAGTTTATGATTTCATTATCAATTGACAATGTTAAAGTTATTTTATCTATTTTTAATTTTTATAGATAGTTTTCAAAAATAAAAAAACTACTATGGTTTTTGGCATTTTTTTTCTTTTTTTTTTGTCAAAAAAAAATCAGAAAATATTAGTGTACAAGTAAGGACTGAAAAATTCTTACAATTTAAATTTCAAACAAATAGTCATGCGAATGTGTTGACAGTTCTTTTGTCTCAACGGAAAAGACAATTGTTAAGTAAAATGAATAGAAATAGAAGAAGAGAAATAATTAAAGAAAAATTATTGAGTAAACAATCAAAATGATTCGTGGTGGCCCCCCACGGGCCCAACAACACTCTTCAATCTGATCTCGGACTGGAGACAAGCCTAGCCACTAAAAAAAGTAAAAAACATAGCAAACTCTTCACACTATTATAATAGTAGTAGATAGATAAATTAGGTGAGAAATTATGGGAAATAAATTACTTTTATTTTGAAACTTTGACTTCTCATTTAAAAGTGATGAGATTTAATGAAAATAACCGTATTTTATTTATATATATATATATATATATATTAGAACATGAGAAATAATATATTAATAAAACAACAAGAGTATATAAATAAGACCCCAAAGGGTCAGTCGACCCAAACAACAAAAGTAAAATCTGCTATCCTTGGTAAATTATTTGTCCATCTTTTGGGATTTCCTTATTAGATATGAAAGTTGGTGAATCTACTAATAATTAATGTATAGACCTTGAATATTAGAAGAAAATCTGTTATCCTTGGGAAATTATTTGTCCATCTTAGAAAATTAAATTCTTTCTAGGAACGTTAGTAAATACGTTCACATTATTTGTCAATTGAATGGGCCATATATCAAATTTGAAAAATAAAAATAAAAAAAATTTAATGACTATAACTTCGACCACCCACACTATTGTGAGCAAGAGTCATAAATATGGGCATTTTCAACACTACCCTATGTTGATATGGAACTTGGAATTTGAATTAGTTTATGATTTCATTATCAGTTGACAAGGTTAAAGTTATTTCATCTATTTTTAATTTTTATAGGTAGCTTTCAAAAATAAAACAACTACTATGGTGTTTGGCTTTTGTTTTGTTTTGTTTTTTTTTATCAAAAAAAAAAAAATTACAGAAAATATTAGTGTACAAGTATGGATTGAAAAATTCTTACAAATTCAATTTCAAACAAATAGTCATGCGAATGTGTTGACACTTCTTTTGCCTCAACGAAAAAGACTATTAGTAAGTATAGCGAAAAATGAA